ACCCTACTCTCTAGCTACGCAACTGCTCCTCCAGTTATTAAATATCTATATACCTACTGTAAAAAAAAGTAAACATAATCGATTTTTAGACTGTTGTAGGTATTAATGTTTATTATATAATAGATATCTGCAATACTATTGAGTTTTGGATGTATGAGTAATATATTAATGATTTCACGAAATTATAATAGTTAACGAAACGCGATACAAATAACAAGTGTCAAGTAAGTGGGTAGTACAATAGGTACTTCTTATTTGACAGTACTAATAGTATTACTGTTTATTAATGACTAGACTCCTCTATTTATCTGAATTCGATGTCCTCAATATGTTTTTTTTTTTATATAATAATTTTAGTTTACCATTACACTATAGGTAGTATAATATAGTATAATATTGGTAACAAAATGTGTTTAAACTATTATTTACGTACTTACCTAACTATTACAATAGTTTGGTAATAACAGACACACAATTTACACTCTCGAAATTTTTTACGCTTTCAGTTGGTACTTGGCATAGCTGCATAGGTAACGTTTATACGCCTAATCACCAATAATGTTGTACTTAAGGAATAAGTTATAATATATTCCTAGTTGGTTCTCGCACTTGATTTTCATCATCTGTATGGCAGACCTTGAGACCTATAATGTTATTCGAAATAATGAAATTATATTCAACTTATGAATCTGTAGGTATTATCTATAATCTAATCACTGACGTACCTACCGATCAAAAACCGTCTGAAAAAGTGGATAACGTTACCACTACAACAACTACCGGCCATGGACAATGTGAATATAATTATTGATTTGGATTATTCACTTGGACATTTTTACGCGTGCGTATTGTTGAAGAAAATAATATAGAACCATTTTATTTCCAGTCTATCAGCGTATATACCGTATAGCTGGGTTTAGGAATTATTACCTACAGCCTATAGATACCTACAGAAGCATACAGCGGCGTACTTACGGGAGTAGATTTGGGGAATAGATTTCCTCTCAGTGTTTTTAGGTATTAACCATATTTTTAAAGTATTTTTCGCTGGACTTTCCATTTTTATAAATATAGAAATACAGTAGGAAAAAAATTAAACTTAATAAATTGATAAGAATAAACAAAAACTCACTGTTTTTGCCGCCATCGAAAATCCGTTTATTTTAAAAAACATATAGTAAAACCAAAATATTGGTTGGAACTTGCAGTAGTTAAAAAGTATATTTTCATTTAATTTACTGACACTTAGCTAAATTCTCTAGATTTTGAATGCTTATTTTACTCAGACTTTACTGATAGAATAGAATTTCAGCAGTTAATTGATGTATATTCTTTCATTATTAATAAGCACAATGTTTTAGCTGAATTTATAATGTTGAAACTCAAATTAACCTCAAGCTGTCAAAATATAGTAAAAATTGGCTTAGAAGCCTTACAACACTGTAGTAAAGATATTTATCCAAACATTCATTTTTTGTTTAAAATATTAGTTTGTCTGTTTCTACAACACCTGAACAGAGATTTTCCACATTGAAATGATTAAAAACATACTGCATAAGTGAGGAATTTGTTTCCTAAAACAATTAAGAAACAAGCAGTTTACAATTTTATATTCATGTTATTTTTTGTCTCTCTTATTGTTGGGGGTAAAACCACTGACTACTTTTGATTTTAAAATGGCGAACTATATTAAAAATTCCATAAATGGAGTATTAGTCAAAATAAATGTTAGTATTGAAATTTTTGATTTCGATTAATCCATTGAAGAGATGATCCATTTAAGTATGGGCTGGAGGAGAGTAGTGAAGTATCATTTGTGTGGCGCGCGACATGTTAATAATGCACCCGTCCCAATTATCCTAGAACAGTAGCTTTTTTTAAATGTACTGTGTGACAATGTTTATACATTTTGGTTTGCCCTACCCGAAATAAAAGTCTGGATACGCGCCTGCATATAGTCGTCAACGCGTTTTATACAAAAATCCCTAGTGAAATATACAAATATTACAAATATGTATTAATACTGTACAGCCGCGAGTTGGGACACTAGTATTATACAAATTTAAATTTTTTTTTAAATTTTCGAGATTGGGCCATTGAGGCTTCTGAGTGTAATACTAATGTTAAATTCCGATTTCTCGATAAGCTTATCCGTCCATACTGGCCACTGCCATCTCACGATCCGAGACTGAACTATAGCATAAGAATTAGCATTGTTTGTATTTTTTTTAATTATGTATAGTTTACTTCTTTTTTTTAAGAAGTTTATCAAATTTATTTATTATTGAGATTCGAGAAACCAATAATCTATACAAAAATTGTATAACAATATGTTGCTATATAACCATGTAGGAATACTTTGTTATTGGCGACGACGCCGCGTAGCTACTTGGCCTGACTAAAAATTCCGCCTAGGAGTGAGGGAAACAATGCCGAAGCGCCCCCCCCCCGCCTCGGTCCCACCAAGTCTATAAAGGGGGAAAGGTATACTTTATTTTAATACTGCTACCTATATAGATACATAGTATTATATTAAAAACACTCAAGTGACAACTTTTTATACAGAAAGTAGATAGGATTAGATAATTGGAGAAAGTCTGAAAGCAAATAGATACGTTTTCAATACACTGGATATCAAGAGAAACAAAATTAAATTGAAATGGCGAATAGCTGGTATTCAACATTTTAAACATGCTTCGACATTTTAATTCTTAACCATATACCTACAAAATGCCACCGTAAAATGGTTTTCAAATGTAACTAAAACGAATAAAAGAATTTAAAAAAGTAATTTTTTAATGGATGATTTGAGTTTATGATTAGGTAGATAGATAGCAAGGGCTGTATACAAATCTATACTGTTATTAAGAATTTCAATATTTATGCATTAAAAACCGTAAACGAATATGCAAAATGTACATTAGAAAGTAACTAAATATGCTGTTCAATGGTACCTATAGACGGAGGATTGTTTACATAAATAGGTATACTTAGATGAGTATAGGCTACTTCAATTTTACCTATATAAAATAACGAATTACTTAAACCATATGTATAGAATGCCACAGATTTCTTTACAAAACGCATATATTGGGGTATAGAGTAAAATCAAGTAAATTTTTTCTGAAGTCTTTGAAAAAAAAAAACATAAATAATGACCTCTTATTTAACGCACCAACTACACAAATTGACCTTCCTGATGCACCAACTAATGAAAATTACCTTTCAGAAAATGTACGTCACTTGATATTTCGAAGTAAGATTTTGGTAAAAAAGTTGTTCACAGATAGAAAAAAACACACACAAAGCCGCATTAAGAATTTAGCTGCTCCGTGCAAACAAAATTTGACGCCTCTACCCCTTTTTAAATATTTTCATTTATTTGATACAAGAGCTTTGACTCGTGTTTGTAAACATATTGTATAAAATTAACATGATCGAAACTTGAATGATAAATTCTTAATCAACTATAATTAAATAAATACATAGCATTTTTGAATTTCTTTAACTGAATACATAATTTTTGTTTATTTTAAATATCGGCACTGACCAGTGAAATTTTGTGGATTAAATTCCACCAGTTAACGCTAACCGACTGTTTACAGCCTTACGGGACATTGTTAGAACGGATTCAATTATACTATTTTAATCAACTTTTGAAGTCAAATTCAGTTCTATGGTTATTATTACCAAATTGTTAAGTTCTTTAGAACATGATCTGAGGTACAACTTTACTCTCTTTAAGACTGAGAATGATCTTTCTATTGAACAGTATTACTAATTGGTATATACAGTAACAGCACAGCGTTCTATCCATGTCTTTATTATCTATGAATCCACCACAGATAAAAAAACAGTTATCAATATTATTGTTAACCGCCCCCAAAAATTTGCCGCCCTGTGCAATCACAATCATTACACCCCCTAAATGCGGCCTTGCACACACACATCATAGTAAAATCAATAGATCCCTTATTAGACTCTGAATCTAAAATTAGGAATCTTAAATAATCAATTTCACCAATAACAACAAAGCCATTAAGAATCCTAATTTAAATATGATTATTAATTGTTGTACATATATATGTATGTGCCAGGCTGTCCCTCAAAGATATTATACCCCTTGAATATCTCCAGAGATAATAAACATAATCAAATTATGATTTTTTTTAATATTACTCACAGGGATGAGGATCACAAATATTTATTTTTTAATTCAATTTTTTTTTTTTTTTTAAATTTATTTTATTTTATTATTTTGGAAAGATTACTAAGAAAATATTCATCAGACAAAAATGTGTGATACATTTAAATCTTCAGAAAAATAAACTCTCCATGATAGCTATCTTAACATTTTTCGAAAATAATAAAATAAAGTTATTTTTTTAATTTTCTTACTAAAAAAATAAATGGGATTTAAAAATAAATATTTGTTATCATCATCCTTGTGAGTGAAATAAAAAAATCAGCATTTGATGATATACCTGTTATTATACTAAGTTTACTTTATTTAAAATGAAAATTGTATTCTTAATTTGTATGACCTAATTTCTCAGCTGATTCAAATAGTTCACGGGTTATATTATGAGAGTTCGATATGAAACCTGTATAATATCTAAAATCAGCAACTAAAGTAAATTAGTTTTAATTTTGGTGCGTTAAGTGTTTAACACATTCATTTGATTAAACTATAGATATAAATGTATATATATATATTATAATATCTACATTGTCTTTTAAGTATAGGTACCTATGTATATTTTTTTAATCCAAATATAATACATTTTTTACTTCCTCACCAATAATTGCTGAATATTTATAATACATTGATGACTTTAAAATTAAAGTTTATTAATTTTCGGTAGAAATAGAACTAATAATTTTAAATTTAACATGGTTCATAATTTTATTTTAAAGAACTTATTTAACTTTATTATAACTAATTATAGAAAATGTAGATTAACATAGTAGTTTTATATAACTGAACTTATAAGATTTTACCAGACTTGGTTAACAACTAAATTAAATACTTTTAAGTTTTAATTAATAAACAATAAATTACAAGAAGTTAATACTAATGATCACAATAAATAATAATGATTAGAAATATAATAAATGAGATATAAAACTTGTGAGTAATTTATAATTACAAACATTTTTCGTAAACAAATTCATATATTATAAAATATATATAGATACAAATTGTCACTTTAATAAAAAAAAAAAAAATTAACCAATCATTAATTTAAACATATTTCCTTTCAAAGTATAAAATACAAAAATATTGTCTGTATTTTTTAGTTTTGTGTCAATAATATAATTGTAAACTTTATTTAAATCTTTTTTATAATGTGAAAATCTGAAAAAAAAAACAACAAAACATATATAACAAAACAACTAATTGATCATACCATCTAGAACCATTAGATTTGTTTATACCTTTTTATTAAAATAGCAATATCACTGTCAATAGTTGTCAAATCCATTAAAGATAATGCTTTAAGTAATTCTATTTCAATATTAAGTGCTAAGATTTCAATATATGTTTTTGATGAAAATTTTTGTAGTAATTTTGAAACTCCATTCAAAATCTAAACAAAAAGATTTAAAATAGAATAATGACAATATGTTCAACTTATTTAAATAATTACCTGGCTTTCATACCGACGTTTAACATTTGTAGTTAACTTTTCTTCAGTAAAAAAAACTATGTTTATATGTTGATTTTCACTGGTAGACCGAACATCATTTCTGACAGTTTTAGTTGGAGAAGTAACACTATTACTATTCTTTCTATTTTTATGTCGCATATATTCTATAAATTCAGTAACACTCATTACTTTATCCTGAAATCTAAAATAGATTACTCATTAATAATTTTAATAATTTTAATAATTTTAAAATACATTTTACTAACTTATCTCCCATTAAATGTCTCAATATCACTGATTTAGATTCTTTCAACATAACAATATTATTTACATATAATTCTTGACAATAATCTTGAATTTGTTCCAATGTCTATAAACATAAATAATATAAAAGCATTTTCTTATTGTTATTAATTTAATAATTATTTTGATAAATCTCTGCATAGGGCACCTATTTGTTTAATAAGTATAATAAAATTATATACTCTAGTATTTTTAGATGTGTGGGTAGATGATTGTACTTAAATAGGCTTAGATGGAGCAGTAGACAAAAATTAATGAGATGGGATAATAGTTGTGGTTAATTTCTTTAGGTCCTTAGGAATCTATATAAACTATGCAAAGATCAAACACGTATTTACTTAACCATTATTTTGGTAATACTAAAAATAGGTTTCATACTTGGTCTACATTTAAAACTAAAGTTTTAATTCCCAAATTCCATAAATCTTTGGCAATATTTAGTTTTTCTTCAGTCAATAAATTATTTGATGAACTCAATACAACATCTATTCCTGATGGTTGTGTATGAAACATTACAGCGAGTTTATCTAATGAGAAACTAATACCACTTGCGGTTTGCTTTATATCATTAGTCATATCTAGATTTTTCCTATTATTAAAAAATTACAAATGTATAAAGGTTTTATTTTAAAATTTTAAGTCAAAATTACTTAAATGAAGATATTAGTTTATCATAACGACCACCAGCTGCTAAAACATCAAATTCAGCTAAACTCTTCTTACTATTTTTATAATAAACAATCTCAAATATTAATCCTGTATAGAACTGTGTTATATTCATTAATCCCGGAGCAATAACAACTGAGAACTATACACAAGCTTGTGGTAATTAGTTACATCAACACATAATTATTCTAAAATAATATTTGTTCTTTACTTTGACATTTAGTGACTCAATATGTTTTATTACAGCTTCTATATGCCGCAAACCTTCTCTAGAGAAAATTCCACATTTTGATTTACGAATTGTTATTTTACGACAAACTTCATACATATCAGCCAATGAATGTTCCATGGAAAAATAATTCATTGCTATATTAATTTGGTGGTTTGCAAATCCCATTCCTTCTAATTCTTCAATTTGTTCTTGGGTCAAATCTTTTTGCTATAAGTTTCAAAAATAAAATCATATTATACTTCAATTCATTAAGACTAAACAATACAAAGAACTATAAATATAATATATTGTATTATCAAATTTGATATGAACAAGTGGAAGTTGAAAGTTTATTGGTTCAATAACCGTAACACTAATATAAATAGAAATAAGAACAATTAGTGCTTAATGGGTATACAGTAATAATATAACTCGATAATTCGATGTTGGCGGGACTTATGAACAATTTAAAATTTCCAAGAGTTTGAATTGCTGAGTAGTTCAAAATATTGAGAGTAAAACAAAAAAATTTGAATTACTAAGTTTTTTTTAATTACCAATTAATAAATATTTCAGCAAATTAGTATTAATTAATTTTACAATCAACAAAACAAATATAAAATTCAACATTAAAATATGATAAGAGAAATAATTAAGAAATAAAATGCTTACGATAATAATTCTTAAGTTATCGAAAATAATAATAAAATAATGAAAAGATTATAAAAAATACATTTGGTATAATATACTTCAAACTTGAATAAAACTTCAAATTGTCACTTGTTGATGGCAGTTTTCCCAAAATTTAATTTCTTATTACAGAGTGTACTTAAATTAATTTTTTTTATTAAAATTACTGCAAGATTTTCAAGAGACCAATCATTTACTTTAAATTATCGAGAGTCAACTGTATTTGAACTTCAATTTTGATTTGAGTAAGTACTTAAAATAAAAATTTTGAAAATTGACATTTTTAGATATAAAAAATATATCATAAGGAAAATTTTAAAAGTAAGTTTCTCTAGTTTATTTTGGTATAAGAAAATACATTTTAGAAACAACCCTCGTATTTTCAATAATAATAATAATAATAATAAAACGTAAATAAGTTTAACGATAATTTGTTTCAATTAAAGAACACAAATGGTTATTGATTATTATTTGTAAAAATAACAATGAAGTGGATATTTTTGATTATAAATTTATTAAACCGAATGTGGCTTAAAAAAATTTGTTATGATCAAATAAAATAAAATTATTCACTTTAAATTTTGCAAAATATCTACAAATCTCTAAGTGGCGTGCTTTTTCTATTCCAGAATACATTAATATTCCTTGAACTAGTGAAATATGGTTTAAACGAATAATACAGTTCTTCTGGTTAAAATCTTTAAGTTTGATAAATATATCTACTGCAATGGATAACAGTTCTGCTTCAGCTATTACATCTGTAAAAAAATAAAATATGTAACAATCAAATAATTATTTAATGCAAAATGCTGTAGTTTATTAACCTTGAGATGAACTAATTATATCAAAAGCAGCCTCATAAAGTTCACGAGGGTGTACTCCATAAACTCTCCTTTCTCTGTATACCCGGTCAATGGAGTATCGTTTCAAATTAGAAATAGTGGGATTATGGGCTAAAAATCTAGCAAACGGAATTCTTAGACTGTGAGGTAAACATGTTAGACCACCCCAACGAGCCATCATAGTTACAGTAGTTTCATTGATCATGGAATTCATTGCTGGGATTAGCAATGGAATGCATAGCCAAACACCTCCATGTAGCTCAAACACTTCCCTAACTATGTCAATAATATTTTGTAATCGACCATGTTGAAGTACATTTTTTCCTGTTGTCATAGTAAATGTTATATCCTCAACAGTGTTAACATTCTGCAATAGTACCAAATTATAAATTAATGGTTAGGTAAATATTATATTTATAAATTTAAAATTAGACAAAAACTAGTTCAATGAATAATTAAATTTGTATTTAAAACAAAACAAAAAGGCAGATACATACTACCAGGTGATCCATTTAGGTAGGTATACTTATATCTCGAAATTTTGGCTTTCCAAATATTCACTAATGAATTGTTAAGTTTTTAAAGTTAACCATAATTTAAATTATTTTCATTGCCACTACTACATAATATCAATTTATTTGCTAATTTATCTATGAAAAATTAATTTGTTAATGATTATCTTAAATTTTAAAAAGTTGTAAAAACATAGGCTTGTTCTTACAATATCTGGTTAAATGTCCTAACCTAACTACTGGATTTTTAACCAGTTAAATAGATACTTGTCAAATACTTTTTATGATTATTGTTACTACTATATTCTGTGGCAAACTAGAATATAACGGGTTAGCAGATTGATCTAACCACCCAATCCCTCCATTATGTGGCAACTTGCAGGCAAGTTATTATAGCAAATGCATAGAAACTAATAAAAAAATTTCAACAGGAAGCCAATATATTTTAGTTTGAGACAGAGCATTAATTTATATTTTAAATTTGACATTGCAGTCAGTGGTGTATCTATGAATTATTTTTTTTTTTTGGGGGGGGGGCTGATCAGTTAGGTACATATTGCATTACAAAAAAAAACCGAAAAAAATTGCAAAATTAGTGATTAAAAAAACTAAATTTTAAATTATTATTTTAGTCAAATTGTTAATTTTAGTCTAGGTTTTCCACTGTTTGAAAACTTATCTAGTACCATATCATCAATGAAATTTACATCTATCTCTATGAAACATATAACAAAGCTAGTCCTACAGGCTGTGACTCGACTTATATTTCAAAGATAATTTTTCAATCACCTTAATGTTGAAAAACTTCTCTCAGAAGTGACTGTTGAAACTGGAAGTATTCATAGTAATTTAAGAAGTTCATTCACATTGCTGTAGTGATTCCATAGCTGGCGGGGATTAGATTCAATCAAGTTCCATTTTGACTGCCATAATTGATATTCCTTCTATAATGCCATCATACTCTTTTAAATCATCTTGGTAAAATGTAATTCCAGTTTTAAGGTTTAAATATGGTTTATTTCCAATTATATTTGGTAAAACTTCTTATAGAGAATTTATTATTTCTTTATATGATAAAAATGTTTATAAAATTATGAAAGTATATCTACATGCAGTTTTTTTGAGTAATACAAATTTGTGGTATATTTTCTTCCACATTTAATAAACCTTCTAAGCAATTGATTTATTCATAAATATCATAAAATGTATCAGTTGCATTTTCTCTTGAAGTTGAATTGTTACCTGATTCACTCTATCAAGGGCAATCATTAGACCAATATTTTTACTTTGCATACATTTTGATAAATGATTAATATATAAACATAACAATTTACTAAAATAACTAAAAGGTTAAAATTACAGATGCGATTTAATAAACAAGTTGTTCTGTTAAATAATAAATTAAGTATTAATTATTATTATAATAGTTAATAATTTAAGAATTCCTGAAATTTCAGACTGTGACCCTCTCAGCCACCTTGGATACACCACTGGTTGGAAGTTAGCATATAGCGTATACATTTTTGTTACAATAATGAATAGAGCTCTTTATAATTGCAGATTAATTGACCAAGAAAGTGATTCTTCTAACTTCAAAAATGAAATAACAGAATTTAACGCTTCAATTAGAGACAATTTTTCCAGACTACCAAAACTACCTTCAGTTATTAGAGGAAGTTTCTGAAACAATATCGTTTAAAGAAACAAAAAATAGAGAAGATCCTGGAAGAAATACTTGATTAGATAAAATACCCCACAAATATTGTGATCCAATTTTTTTATATTCTAAAGCAATTTCATGTTTTGCAACCAACTCAACCAACATATTTTCTTCCATTGCAGAGTATAAATTATAATATTAATATATAATTAAGAATATGTCAATGAATATCAATGTCAATAATGTCAATTATATTGGGTTTTGTAAAATTAAACAGACAAGAAAATATAACATTTTAATGAACTATCTGACTATATAGATGATAATAACAATAATATATGGTAATTCAATAATTCAGTGTTTACCTAAGCATGCCAGTAAAACAATACAATGTGGTCATGGGCAGTTGTTTTGGGAATCACTGTCAATCACTTTTATTAAAACTGCCAGTTAGTTATGTTAATCGAAGATTGTAAGAATGGATTGCTTTAACTGACACTTTTATAAACATTTAACCAGGCAGTTAGAACAAGCCTTAGTAAATTATACATAAAAAAAAAAATATTATTCCAAAATTTTGGTTAAAAATATATTTAGAAAATGGCTATCTTGGATTGTATAAAAACAACTTTATAAGTTTTTTTTTAGTTAAAAAAAATATTAAATGGAGGAATCATAAGACTAGGTTCTAGAAATTTCTACTAGAAAAAAAACTTAAAAATATTGAACAAAAAAAAGTTATTTCAGGTATTAGATCTTTTTATTACATCCTGTATGTATAATTATATTATATTAAGTTTTTAAGTGTCCGATCTGTAATAGAAGATGAGTTTAATCTATTTAATAAGCAACATCACACAATCATAAAATTTACATCAACATATTAAGATTTTTCATAATAAAAAATAATTATAAAAATTGGATATTTACTTGACTAAAACATGAAGCAATAAGATGTTTGTAGTTTTTACTATTTGAATTTGAAAGGGTGTTTCTAACCATTTCGTGCAGTTCTGTATCTTTTAGTTTAGGTGGGGGTATGTATTGACTTTGCAATATATCTGTTGAATTTGGCCGTTTAGATGGATCATGATTTAATAACCACCTATACATAAAATAATTATTATAAAAATATACAAAATTAATATACAAATATTTAAACTTTATTTAATACTTGGTAATATATTTTTGAGCAGGTTCAGCAATTTTTAAATATTCCGTAGGTAAAATGCATTCATACATTCTTAAATCAGATAAAACTTTTATTCGTTCCATTTCTGTTGAAAATGGTTTGTGACACATTTCAAAAAAAATTATACCCAAACTATAAATATCAACTTTCTAAACAATAATAATAGAAATGTTTAAATGTAATTATACATAATATGACCTATGTTCTACAATATCATTGAAAATTTATATTCTTAAACTATAGACGTAACACCTAACAGATTATGTTTTCTACTTAAGTAATACAGAAAGAAATATTTTTTGAAGGGAAAAAAATGTATCACTCATTTAAAACTGATCAGATAGGAAAAATCAGTAACTCCTAATACACTTGGCGTCACAAAAATCGCACCTATTGCAAATTATTTTTCAAAGTAATTTTAACTACACTTAATCATATATAAGGGTACTGTTATGATATATCATTTGAAAGGTGATGAAATAAACTTGAAAAATAAATAAATGGTATGTGTTTTTGTTTATCAGTGTTTTAAAAAATAAGTTAATCGTGGAAGAGGAAAACAAATTGTATTGAAGATATACAGTTTTACAAACAGAAACAGACAATAGACTTCATATAAAAATAAAAAACTGTTACTAAATGTTATTTAAAATCTAGTGCTACTTCCTCTTGCCTTAATTACTACTTCCATACGATCTTTCATAGAAGTTATGAGTCGTACGATGCGTTCTTGAGGAATGTTCACCCATTCCGCAACAACAGCATATTGAAGATCTTGGAGGGTTGTTGGGGCAGGATCATGTGACCGCACTCTTCGTTTTAATTCGTCCCAGAGGTGCTCAATTGGGTTTAGGTCTGGACTTCTCGCTGGCCAGTTCATAACAGGGATCCCAACCTCTTCCGTATAATTTTTTACAATTAATGCGGTGTGGGAACAAGCATTGTCGTGCATTAGTATAAACCCATCTCCAACAAAACCCGCATATGGTACCACATGCTCTTCTAAGATCTCTGTAATGTATTGATCAGAAGTTAGCGATCCTTGCCACCAGTTCGGGAAACGCACACAAGCTCGGTCTTGCTATCGATGGAAATGCCGCCCCAGAACATGCATGATCCACCTCCATACTCCACTGTCTCCTCNGTCTTCCATTGGTCAAGCGTCCAATTAAAATGTTCACGGGCAAAATGTAACCGTTCTTTGCGGTGCTGTGCAGTCAGTTTCGGACCGGTAGCAGGTCTGCGGGCCACAATTTTTTGTTCTCCTAACCTTCTCCTAACCATAGAGGTGCTTACTGTTGTACTGCGAGCTGCGCGGAGTTGCTGTTGAAGCTCTACAGCATTGGAAAATTGATTGCGCAAAGACGTCGAGACAATAAAACGATCATCTCTGTCCGTTGTGCAGCGTTGTCGGCCTGATCCATGCCTCCGGATAAAGCCACCAGTCTCTTGATAACGTTGGAAAACTCGTGGAACGGCAAAACGGCTCAAGTTTAGTTGCCGTGCAACATCACATTGACGCATCCCTGATTCCATTAATGCTACCACTTGAGCGGCTTCGTTAGCAGTTGTATCCATTTAATACGTTATTTTTTGAAATAATATTGTTTAAAGAGTATTCAATTCACGTTCTTTTCAATGTTTAGGAAGTGAATGACCTGCATTTGACACTTTAAACTGATTTTTCTATAGCCAAAGAATATAAGATAAGATAGGAGTATATTTATACATTTTCCTAATGCACCGTATACTCGGAATATGATTATTGTTTATGAAATGAAACTACTATCGGATAAGAGGTCATTAACTGTACTTTCAATTTATATCTTTATTGTTTGGATTAAATGTTTTGGTTCGGGGAAATGCCCGTTTGAAACTTAATTTTAAAGATGTGCGATTTTTGTGACACCAAGTGTAGAAATATTATTAAAATTATTTTATTTTTATATCTAATTTATAAAAATACAATTTATATTCACTTCATTATATATAGCTTTTGGGCCTAATATATTAATTTCAGGAGCAACATATAATGCTGTACCAATATTGCCAGTTTGAGATTTATTAATAAATATATCTTGGTTATGTTTCAAATCCACATCGGGAATATGTCTGAAAAAATTATTTCAATAAGTATTAAATATGTATTATTTAAAATATTAATTTTCATCAATTAACCTTTGAATAACAGTTGTGGCTAAACCAAAATCTCCAATTTTAACATGATCATCAGAATCAATAAATATATTCACAGGTTTTAAATCTCTATGGATTATTCCCTGTTGGTGTATGTATGAAAGGCCTTCAACAATTTCCCTTAATAAACGCCATACTCTCATGGGTTCTTTATACAGATCATTATCGATTGCAATACTTTAAACAAACACAAATAAGGAATTAATCATTAAAACAATAGGAAATAATTTTCAACAATAATTATTATAATAAACAAAATATAACAATTATTTGTTGTCATTTATTTTAAAATAGATGAAATTTATTATTTGTGTATCTTACCGAAGAGTACTTTTTTCACAAAACTCCATTTGAATATACATAGATTGATCAATTTCATCATTTAAACAATTGTCATTATTGATAGATAGTTGATTTGAAGTGTGGCAAGTTGTATTTTCAGCAGAACTTGAAGTAGCATTCTCAGAATTAGATTGATGACTAAATAAATAGTATACATTTTTTTTAAACATTATTTAACAAGATTCATTTTATAGAATAAATAATATACACACACAGTGACAGTACAATGGAAAATATAAAGCATTGCAATATAAAATAAAATTTGAAAAAATAAAATATTAAATGGATATTAAATTTTATGTCGCAACATAACTTACATGAATGATATCCAATTCTCTTCTTCAGAACTATCATCACTATTGATTTCTTCATTTAGATCTGATAATTTCCAACTACAGCTGATGTTTTTCAATGGACATAATTCATTTGTTTTACTTTTCCCCTAGTTAAAAACAAAATAAAATGTTAATAATACCAAAATCTCCATATGTTTATTAATTTTAAAATATTTGTATAAATATATTAGAAGAAATTTATTAAAACATATTTCTAAGTTAAAATACTCTTATTTTCCTTGGCTTTTAGTGAATCATATTGTACATAAACTTACTCCAGTACACAAATATACACTATATACTATACACTATCCTCATATCACTCTAATTTCTATCAATTTGTCTCTTGTCTCGCAGCCCTGTATTCCTTTAACAGTCATGGGAGTCACCACATCTTTCTCATCCCATCTTCATAACATGTCCAAACTCTAAAATTTAGACTTTCAATTTCAAAACTATCCAAATTAAACATTGTTCAACACTAATTTGATTTAAAAGAAAATCAACAAAACCCAACTTTCAATATATGTATTAATACAAAATTAAATATTGTTGGAATATATTGTTTACTAATGTACCAACATTTTTCTGAGGTGTTCCTTCTTCACTGACTTTTGCTGTTTCTATCCAAGAATTGAAATATCTAACAACATTTTCATGGTTCAGACGAGATAAGAGTTTCACTTCTCTAGTAATTTTTTTATTTAAGATTTTGTTTTTCTTGCTTAATTGAATACACTTTATAGCATATAAACAGTCATCTAGTTTATTTTTCACCTATATATTACAATCAATAAATACATTTTAGTATACAACAAATTTATAACTAGGGATGAGCAACTCTTGAAGGACTTCATAAACCAAATCTGAATACTTTACTGTGGTATTTTACAATATGCTTTTTATATTTACTATAAATAACTATGTAGTTTCTAAATAATGTGTTTTAAAAAAATAATGCATATATTTAAAATAACGCAAATATCTAAGTTCTCATCCCAAGTTTAATTAGATATGTTAAAAATTAAATTTTTATAAACCTTTAGTACATCCCCAAACGCTCCTTTACCAAGCCAACTTAAAATGATAAACTCCTTGTGAAGTCTAGAATTAGAGTTAGAAAAACTATGATCAGTTACAAAGTCATGAGTCCATTTGCTTTCATCTATTTGATCCTATAAAAAAATAATATATATGTATATTATGTTAATCACAATCTTAAAATTTGCAGAGTATATTATTATTTCTTGGTGCATATTATGACTTTTTAATAAGATGTGTATTATTTACCCAATATCATTTTTTAGATTCTGAGTGAGTGATTTATTGATTTTACTATGTGTATTAGATCTGGAGCATATTTATTTTTTCTGTCTGTAAATAACTTTTCTTCTAGAAATCTTGATCCAATCAAATCAAAACAAGTATTGAGATCTTTTTTTGTTAAATTTTTACTCTAGTTGCTACTTTAAAAGGGTAAAACTTTAACATTTTGATTCATATTTTAGATAATGAGGAAAAACTGATTCTTTAGGTTAAAAATAAATAAAAGATACAAAAATAAGGTTGTCACTAACAAAAGTTTTTATTTATTTAATCTTATTTAAAAAAAATCATTGTTATTGTCGAAAAAGGAATAATAGTGACAGAGCTCAACTCAGAACTTAACTTATACAGAATATAGATATGAATTAAATTCCCCTCTATATTTTACCTTTTCAATATCCCACCCACAAAAATGACCCCACTTGTTCTCAGTATCAGCTCTTTTATTAAACATAAATATTTATAAAAATACATTTCTAAATGAAGTGAAACCAATTTAAATACAGCAATATTTTTTATTGAATTCAATTTATATATTTATTTTTTTTTATAGATAAGGCTTATCTTTTCATTGTTTCTACTTGCACCAAGTCAAAGATTAATGCAAATTTGTTCTTACTTCTTGTTGAAGATTTCTTCTCAGTGGTGAATTGGTATTAACTGAATCTGATATTTCTCTGAAAAAATATTAATTAAATACAGTAAATTGTGAATTTACTAATATATTAAAATAAAAATCACCTAAACCTATTTGATAATATTCATAAAATAATAATGGTTTAAATTACAACAGTTATACTACTTTCAGAGTACAAACATAATCTGTAATATTATTGTATTTAAGAAAAATACTTAAAATGTCTGTTGTCCATTATTATAATATTTATATATTAACGTAATATTATAATAACTACAATATTACCAAGTAGAAAAATTTGAAAACCTTGGCTTCAGTCATCATATTTTTATTCTATATTGTATACTTAAAATAGCAGTTTTTAATTTGTTTTAATAATTTAAGATTTAACACTTCATTTTCCAATGCAGAATATAATATTCTGATGTATAGGTAAATATTGAATACTCAGCTTGGGTTTAATGGTCAATGAATGCACATGTCTGTTAATAATATATAAAGTTTTTAAATCCATCAAAACGAATAACAACTTCATTTAATGAAGCCGAACAAACTATAAGTAATAATTAAAAGATAAGACTATTCAACTAAGAATGAAATTACATTAATAAATCCTTCATTGATATAAGATTAAAATACTTTTATATTACACAAACATTGATTATAAAAAATAACTTTAAAAAAACATCATCTATTTATATTTATTGATGGTTTTTGAATAATATCTTTTGTACATTTACCAATAAATTTAGGATTTATCCTTAACTATAAATCTGTTCATAAAAATGGATGGTGTTTGTGCAAAAGAAACACAAGTTAATTTTGGCCATTATTAGATTATACATCAATTTTGTAGGAAATGTTATGCTGTCACTGGTATATTACTGTACTGAATATAGACTTAATGGTTATAAAAATATGGTCTTGTGCAATTCAGCACAAGACATTGTGTTTATTTATGGAAGGTGAAAATGTCAAAACAAAGGGCTAAAGCTCTTTTAAAATTATCAACTGTTCTTATACTTTTTTCTTTTACTCTTATCAGAGACAAAACCATACGCCCCTACCACAAAATTCGTAATTTTTATTGTGATTAAGTAAGTTTTTAAGTGTTATTAAAACTAAACATTCCATATATAAAAATATTTTATATAAAATTCTAATACTTGAGAGGGGAGTTTCCCTCCCTTCTATATTCCTTAAAAAGTTCTCTGGCTCAGATATTAGTTTAAATAATAACTAGTATTAAAACCGCCTTAAACACTATAAAATCATTTAATTCTTGTTATATTTCAATATATACAATAAGGCACAAGTCATGGAAATTTAATTTTGTGCATTGCTATTAGACACAATTCAACAAAATTATTTTATGAATGATTGTTAAATTATTTATTTAAAAATATTAAAAAAAAAAAAACTGTTTCAAATAGAAGTGATAAATTTTTAATTTTAAGTTGCTTAAAAATATTTTTTGTGTCTTCTGTAAAGTAGTGATTTTTGACCTGTGTCCTTTTACATAAACACTGTCCAAATTAATATCAAATACATAATAGGTATATACATAAGAAATTATTTAAATACAAACTTACCTAGTATTATAATCGGTGTACTCATTTAATTTATCATTCAAAGTACCCTTTGTTTTATTTTTATACATTTTAAACTCCTGTTTAAGAGCTTCTTTTTTTTTATTCAATTCATTGTGAATTAATTGCTTCTAAACAAAAAATATTTACATTTGTAATTTTATTTAGTAAATAGTAAAACAAAATTACCGTTAATTCAATTTCTTGTTTTCTAGATTCTAATTCTTCTAAATGTTTTTTATGTTTTTTGGACATCATTTCTTCATAAAATGATGAATACTGGGGTGTATTATAAAGTGAAAGAAAACTCTAAATGGTTAAAATATAAATATATTAAAGTAGATAAATAATAAAACAATTGGATACATTAATCATCTAAGTTAGATACCTGGACATGTTGAACAAATTCAAAAACCATAACTTCACCAATTATCTTAGATGCAAGTTCACTTAATTGTTTTTCAAGGTGTACAAGATAATATGAAGGGATACCTTTAGCATTTTGAAGCTTAATACATGGTATTCTGTTACAATATACATAGCATTATTACTTTGTATTACTTTATATACATATATAGAAACTTACTCATTAGGATAATTTACTGATGCTTTTATGTGCAAATCAATTAAAATATTATTTTGCTGTGCATTTGTAAATCCTTCGGGCAAAACTGTTATGATAACATCTAAGGGTTTCCAAATATTTGTGGCTTCATAAGTATTGTTATCCACTATTTGATCATTGAATATAGCCTGGACGATAATACAAATTTTATACAACATTAGACTTTTGTTACCTATTGGTTATTGTTTTGAAACAAATTAAATGTCAAAATAAACATTTAAATTACTTTCAATGCTTCTAGTTCATTTGATTGTCTTTCTTGCAACGTTTCTGCCATTAGATTAATCAAAATACTCTCGAGGGTATCATAGACAATGATATAGAAAAAAAAGAAATGCTATGAGGGAAATAGTAAAATTATTCAAAATAAACAAAAATTAAAAAATATCTGTGCATACTGAGTAAACAGTTTTAACGTGCTGTTGTAGTTATCAACAAATGATTGATCACCTTATCATAGAACATGTTCTTTGGATTCCAGTGCATACAAAATTTTAAAAAAGTTCATACCTTCAATAATATTTCCAATGATAAAAAAATGTATCAAATTCGAAATTTTAAATTCGTCCGTATTCATATAAAAGGGTTGTTAAAACCACTAAGATAATTGATCGCTTCTACTAAGGCCCGGTTTTTCAATTGCCACTTACCCGCTAGATAGCTTTCTGTAACATGACAAATAGATCCCATGTCATTTGGATCCCGTAATTATTTTGATAAGAATTAATGCCAGTTCGGAGACATTCAGATCTCGAGACAATATGATCCATAGTCATTTAGATCCACGACATTTTTAGACTGTATGGAGACATATGCTATTGGTGGCATTTTCAAAATTTTTAAAATTCATATTACTTATATTTTATATTATAGGTAGATATAATTAATGTAAAATTACTTATCTACCCTTACCTACTTATCGTGTACCTTTTACCTAGGTACTGGATTTTCGAAAATTCTATTTACCCTTAACCATACTATAACTATATTTTTCTAATTTCATGACAATATAATACATTGAGACATTTGAATGATACTGATTTTGGGATTCTGGCAAGTACGAGGTTCGTATTGTTAAGGGGTATATTATTTGAAAGTTTAAAATAATATTTACCTTTATACCTACGACACACAAGCTATTATGATAATTGTATATACTGATAACATACAGATATCTGGACTTTTAGATCAAGACACGATAATTTGATCACGAGAAAACTGGATGCACACTGTTACCAAAGATATCGTTGGGATCCATAGGATCAAAATGACCCGGGTCCTATTTGTTCATACACTCTGTCGAATATACTTATCCGGAAGATAAACTTCCGAATAACGTGATACATACAAAATTATCCGTCTGATAGCTATTCGATGGATAAAGATAAGCGGTAGAAAGTGATACTGATAAACGATATACTGAATAAATTACTCCGAACGTAAAGTGTTACGAATACAACTGCTTCGATAGTTTATTACCAAGTAATTAATTTAAAATTGGTCAACAACTGTTACGATATTCACAGCTCCGAAATTATACTTTGCATACCTAAAATGTTGCGATGTAAGATTGCTTCGATAATCAGATCGATATTAACATTACGTTAGGTATGTTTCGCTTCCAATATTTGATAAGAAAGCCCACTGGTTCCCATTTCTGTACCTATGTTGCCTATTCAGCTCCTAAAATTGTATTCTTTATTGCCTACCTATCTAATTTCCAAAATAATCTTAGTTCTTCAAAAATATTTATTTATTAATATTTTATGTCACAAGCCCTTTAAATACAGGAACGTATCATATATATGAAAAAACAAATAAAAAATAAAAATATTGTAAAATAATTTAACTTACGATTAAATAGGTACCACTGAAACAAAATGATGTGATCCGACACACATGATAATAATGGGTTTTAGTTAGTAAATACAGATAAATCTTTCCTTCTAAAACATTTGAAGGACAAAAAAAAGAAATCATTACAAATTTGATAACACAATATACATTTGAATACCAAAAATAAATTCTAAATTAACACACATTAATTATAAAATTATATTTCATTTATAAAATGTTTTTATTATGATAAAATATAATTAATATAATAAATATTATATTTATAAACAAATTTACATATAATAAGGTTTTGACTTGCATTTCTAAAGAAATTTTTACCATAGACATAATGAGTATATTATAATGCCATGTAGGTATCTATATAATATAATTTGTATTTAGGTAGTTATAACTCATAGGTAAGAATTATTTCAATAAATACCCTGTCCAACAATAATATTTATTATTTAGTTTATAAATTGAAATTAAATTGTGGAGGAGCTTAGTAATACATTTTAGGAAGGTACTAGATAAGGTGGATAAGGCGATAATAGTTGCACAACAACAATTTTTTCAAATAACATTTTACCAACATTTTGTAAGTCATTTACAATTATTACAAGTATTTGTAAGCATAAATTTGAAATTTGCGAGTCGAATCTTTTTTAATTATCCATTAAAATTTATTTTGCGCTCTAAATTTTTCAAAATTTGACCATTTTACCATTTCTAAATTTTTAACCATGCTGCAGACATGTTTTAAATTATTTGTAAATATTAGTAAGCACAAATCCATAATTTGAAAGTCATCCCTTCTTGAGTAATCCCTGAAAAAGGAATGAGCCGTGGTTCTTATGGCTTTGAATTTCAACTGGGCCAAAATTATTTACCTTGAACATTTTGTTCATGATGGTGAACGATTTTGAAAGCCCAACTGACCTAAAATGTTGTACCAATATAAAAGATAAAATAAAATGAAATTCTATGTAAAACGACCAATTTGTAAATTTGTTTTTCTATGTATTCTATTGTTTAATTTTTTATATACAGTCTCAGTTTACATTTTGAGTGATTTATCATAATACTCCAGGCCACACATTTATTAATTAGTTTATTTTTTATTTTTATATATACATTATTTACTTATATAATTATTTATAGGTATTAACCAGTTTAATAAATTTGTTTTTATTTTATAATAATAAATAAAATATTCAGATAAGTCAATAAACATATAGTAATTACATACTAGTATACAAATTAAATTAAAGAAATTATATATCTAGTTAAAAATTATACATACATTATTTTAATGTTAGACAATTTATATTTTTAAAATTTAAGATATTAATATTTAATTGAAAACAAACATCAATTCCTAAAATTAATGGATTTAGTTTTATGAAATTGGTATTACATTTATATTTTTATTATGTCTTATAAACTTTGTACTTGAATCCTATGTACATATATTTACATTTCTTCAGTCATCATATGTTCAGCCAAGTTACCTAAAATAGAATACAATTTTTCAATTTTAACAAACATTAGTGAATTCCTGTAGTTTTGCAAATAATTAATATAATACATAGGTGTTTTATTATTAATATAAACATCTTATATAAATAAAATTGTACAATAGTTCAAGAGATCCAATATTTATATTCTGATGTAGATGTAATTGTATTTAAAGGTGTTATGTTATGGAGAGATTATGGATTATCAAGAGAGCCAAAGTGTATTCATCAGAAAAATAAAAAATGTTATCCTTAATGAACAACAAAAATAATAAATATAAGAATAGAAAACTTTCAGCAAGTTCTATGTTACAACCATAAAAAATTAAAAAATGTTTACATATGAGCCACTATTGTGTTAATAATCACATAATAATATATGTACAATATATAGGCTTTATCACAATTAAATACATAATATTATTTTATGCCTAATGTTCTATTTTGTGCTGTAATATTAAAGTTAATTGGCCTGTTATAAAACTTAAAGTATGGATTAATTTCTATGATTGTGTGTTGGTTGTTTTCACGATATTTTAATTTTTCAGCAAGATTAATTTTTTGATTTTCTCAAAAAATTAAAAAAATGGGAAAATGTATGAAAGGTATAAGTTGATAAAATTTTTTCCAGAAATATTGCTCAGATTTACAATGATAGCACTTTTACTTAAAGTTAATTTTACTGGGGAGATACATTTAAAAGGTAACTTTTTAATTTTCCACCGGTGTTTTCCTATTAAATGGAGGAAAAGGAAAACAAATGGGAATACAGGTACAATATTAAATAAATATTATTAAAGAAAATATATAAAGCTTATATAATTTATGTACTACTTGACATCCTGTGCTAATTTTTTATTCTTTATACTTTTATTTTTGTATTGCTTTGCCCATATCAGTATATCAAATGAAAGAAAATAGCTCGAGTATTTTCATTTCATTTGTGTTACTATGGTTATCCATAATTCAACTGAATTCTGATTTATTACTATGAGGTAAAATTCTATTGTACATTTTCAAATTAAAAAAAATAAGAATAAACAGTTTAAGTGCTTGCTATTGCTAAATAATATTGTAAATAATAATAATAATAATAACAATAACAAAATTTTTCTTGTTCATGATTATCAAATTATCATCCATATCACAAGGGTAACTCACGAATAAATAAATAAACAATTACCAAAAATACCTTAACCACTAATTATTGCAATTTTCATCCATAATTTTATCTAGCAATAAATATAATCTATGTTACTAAATAACTGATATATTTTATTTATTTATGTATTATTTTCAAATGTCAGTAATATAATTTGATTAATAGACAATATAAAAAATATAGTTAGTAAGTTAATTAAGAAAAATACCTGGGTATTGAAAATTTTATTTCTTGGTCCCCAATGAAAAATGTAAAATGTTTCACTTTGCCACTGACTGAAGTTTCCTGTCTTCTTTTAAATTGTATATCACCAAGAAAATTTCTATGCTAAAATCATATTATAATATGAGAACAGATAAATCATAATTAAACAATATTAAATATATTTTTTTAAACATGTTATATTACTTTGCGTATTGAACCTGCTTTACGGGCAATTTCTTTTCTTACATCATTTACTCCCGTTGGTTTCCCACTAAAGGAGAAATTATGTATTTTTAAAATTTTATTGTAGTGATATTCTCTTTGTAGTAGCTTTTTAATTTCTATTAGGGATCGTAATTTTTCCCCTGTAGGGGAATAATAATATACGTCCATTCTTTTTTTATTATTTACAATTTTTTTCCGAATTACAATTTCTCTTTTCCAACCTAAAAAATAATAATTTATAAATGCAAAACACCATTTAAGTGGGGTAGATGTTACGCAGAGACATGGAATCTCTAAGGCCCAATCTTACAATATCTCTTCAACACTAACCAGAATTACATTTGTTATTAACCATGAGTTTACAGTTAGCACTAAACAGTATTTCATTATAAGAATCATGCTTAATGAAGGATCAGACATAAAAATAACAGAAGTTGACAGGAAAATTTGGATGATAATTTGAAGAGATTATTTTAGTGACAAAAACCCTAATAATAAGAAATGTAAATGACAAAATAGCATACAAATACACTTACCATGTTCAAAAGGAATTTTATAAATGGGATTGTTGATACCCATTCTTTTGGCTCTTTTTGATTGTTCTGTAATTGTAAAACAAAATGTAATTATTCACATTAAAACATGTTTTTTTTTTTATATGTTTATTTGAAACTAAAGAAAGAAAAGTGTACATATATTAACTATTTAAAATATTTTGATATTATAATCTACAAAGGTTAAAAGTTCTAAGTAAATCTAAAAAGAATAAAATGAATAAAAAAGGTTAGTTAAAATCTGAACATGAAAAAATTAATTTATAACTCATCAAAATATTATGAATTATATACAGCAACTTTTTTTGAAAGGAAACTCAATAAGGTACACTTCACCTCAGTAATCAAACTATGTACTCAAATGAAGTGTATCATTAATTTCTTTTAGTTTATATTTTTTAAAACATATTGGTAAATTAAATAACATATTAGTATTAGAAATTAATGATAAAATCTGTCCC